ATCATATTTGTCTTTTACTTACTTTACTTAGTACAGTAATCTCTAGGTCCATCCATGCTGCTGTAAATGGCATTATTTCATTCTTTTTATGGCTGAATAATATTCCATTATATGTATACATATATGTATAAATGTATATATCACATCTTCTTTATCCAGTCATCTGTTATGGACACTTAGCTTGCTTCCATGTCTTGGGTATTGTAAATAGCGCTGCTATGAACACCAGGGCACAAGTATCTTTTCAAATTAGAGTTTTCATGTTTTCCAGGTATATCCCAGGAGTGAAATTGCTGGAGTGGACTTACCATATCGTAACTCTAGTTTTGGTTTTTTAAGTAACCTTCATGCTGTTCTCCATAGTGGCTGCACCAATCTACATTTCTACCAACAGTATAGAAGGAGTCCCTTTTCTCCATACCCTCTCCAGTATTTATTATTTGTAGACTTTTTGATTATGGCCATTCTTGTGAGGTGATACCTCATTGTAGTTTTGATTTGCATTTCTCTAATAATTAGCAATGTTAATAAGCATCTTTTCATATGCCTATTGGCATCTGGAGGTCTTCTTTGGAGAAATGTCTATTTAGGTCTTCTGCCCTTTTTTTTTTAAATATATTGAGCTGTATGAGCTGTTTGTATATTTTGAAAAGTAAGTCCTTGTCAATTTATTGGTCGCATTACGGAAAAATATTTTGTCCCATTCTGTAGGTTGTCTTTGCGTTTTGTTATGGTTCTTTTGCGGTGCAAAAGCTTATGAATTTGATTAGGTCCTATTTGTTTATTTTTGCTTTTATTTCTTTTGCCTTGGGAGACTGTACCGTCCTGTCTTTATCTTGTATACTCACGCTATATTTTGAAATTAAATTGTTTTTATAAAATGGCATACCTTAGCACATAATTTATTTATCTGTAATAATAGGCACTTCAGCCCCAAGGCCAATAGGAAAATATGTGGTAAATATAATACTATATAACTAAAAAGTCTGAAGCTGAACAGAGTTTGTGTAGGCCTCAAATATGCTTTATTTATTTGAAGGATTTAAGGTTCACACTTGGAACTTGATCTGTTTATACCTATAAAGTGTGTCTCTATGAACACTTCACTTCAGAGAAGCAACTGCACAGTTCCTTGGGTTTGGGGGTAGAAGGACAGATTTGCCTATGAAAATTACATTCTACCTGTAGCAGAAACTTTAGAGAGCCGTTTTAGAGTATACTGGACACCCCATGTTGTTTTCCCCCCAAAATGAGATGTATGTGTAGATCTGTGTCTGTGTTTACTCACTTGTGTGAACTTCTTTAAAAAATCAGATTAAAAAAGAAAGTACACAGTCTACACAGTCTTATAAGGTAACAGTTATTTTTCATTTGCTTTTTTTGTGTAAATTATTGCATTTGATCTTTATTTGAACCATTTGAAGTAAGTTTTATTATTTAAAATCTCCCCCACTTTTGAGTTTTCCTCATCCAAAAAAAACCCCACAAATTAAAAACCCCATGAAAAAGAAAAAAAAAAATTCCTCCACACATACTTATCAAATTACTTTTCCTATAAGCTACTGCTACTTTTGTGTCTTAAAGTTCAACCAACTTTTTGTGATATGCAAGGCTATAATCAGTCTGTCACTTAATCAGTGAGTTTCTGATGTGTGACAAATCATCTCCAACTGTACTGGCTAAAAGCCACAATTATTTAATAGTGCACAGCTTTATGGATTGGCAATTCAAGTTGAGCTCAGCTGGGCTGAGCTTCACCAAGACTCTTATGAAGCTGCACTCAGCTGGCAAGTCAGCTGGAGGATGGTTATTTTAGAAGGACTTCATTTAAATCCTGCGCATGTCTGGCAGTTGGTTCTTGCTATTGATTAATTCTGGCTGTCAGTTGGAGGGATGGGTCTGAAATGTCTCCAGTAAGCTAGCCTGGGCTTGGCCACATGGTGGTGTCTCAGGGTTTCCAATATCAGCAAGAGAAGCGAGAAGTGTTTTATTTACAAACATATAGGTCAACTTCTACTAAAGAAAGAAATTTACCTTGCTTTTTAAATTTTATTTTGAAACAATTTTAATGTAGAGAGAAGTAAAGAGAGTAATGTAACAAGGACCTGTGTACTCTCTATCCTGGCAATTCTACTTTTTCTAAACATAGCAAATAAAAGTAAACCTATTAGCATCAGTCACGCAGTAGGATTTATAGTATGGAGAGTTACAAGGCAAGAAGAGTATCTCTTCACAGCCCTAAGGAAAATCTAATGAAATGTCTAGTCACTTGAATGCATTTCAGCAACACTCTCTCAATGGAGACACTTTCTGGTTCAGGACTGAGTTATTAGCTCTGGACCCCAATTCAAGTTTAAGTCTCTGTCTATCTTGGGAATAATGGTGGTAAGAGGTAGCTGTTACTCAGGAAACTGGTTAATTGTGTTTGGCAATGACTATAGTGAGTTCTTGTGCAGGGTCAAGCAAGGAGCTGAACAAATACTTTACATAGAAAGTATTTCTTATTTTCCTTGATAATTCTTAAAGATTGCAACCTGGGAAATAACTTTTCCATGAAAGAACTGTCCATTTGTCACCAGGCAATGCTGATTCTGCCTTAAGCAACATTAGTACCTGCCATTTACCCACTTACAAATGCGCACTCCCTTTTCTGGCCCTGATCACTGACCAGATGGAATCCAGCTATAGCTTTCTAAAAAATCCCTTTCCTGACTTTCTCTCAAATTAATTCACCTCTTACATTGATTTGTAGTATTGAAAGAAAGAAAAATATATGGCACAATTAAGACAGAAGGATGAAGAAGAAAGAATACAGACATAATTAGTTGAAATTTACAGGACAATAGCAAAACTAATAGCTTATATTTTAAGAAGAGCCTAAGAAGTTTATCCAAACTTTGTAAATTTTCTTCATAGAAAAGTCTTGGACTAAGTAATCATTCTTATCAGGTGTGACATCCTTACAACATGAACTTGACTATTTAAACATTTTTTTTCTTTTTTGAGATAAAATTCAACACTTTCACCATTTTAAAGTGTACAATCCAGTGCTTTTAGCATATTCACAATGTTGTGCAACCATCACCACTAATTCTAGAACATTTTCATTACCCTAAAAAGAAACCCTGTATCCAGTACATAGTCATTTCCCATTACCTCTTACCTCCAGTCCCTTGCAATCACTAATCTACTCTCTGTCTTTAAGGATTTGCTTATTCTGAACATTTCTTATAAATGGAGTCATACAATAGGTGGCCTTTATATTTGACTTCATTCACTTACTGTTATGTTTTCAAGTTTCACCCATATTGTAACATATATCAATTCTTCATTATTTTTTATAGCTGAGTAATATTCCTTTTATGAATAGACATTTTATTTATCTACTCAACAGTTGATGGACATTGGGTTGTATCTCCTTTTACTATTATGCATAATTCTTCTATAAACATTTGTATACATGTTTGGGGGGAACATGTATTTTCAGTTCTCTTGGGTGAATACCTAGGAATGGAATTACTGGATCATATGGTAACTGTATGTTTAATTTTTTGAGGAACTGCCAAACTGTTTTCCACAGTTGCTCCATTTTACATGCTCGCTAGTTATGTATGAAGCTTCTAGTTTCTCCATATTTTCTTTTCTTTTTCTTTTTTTAAATTATAGCCATCCTAGTGAGACTGAAGTGCTAGCTCATTGTGGTTGTAATTTGTATTTCACTATGAAAATGATATTGAACATCTTTTCATGTACTTATTGGGTATCTGTTTATCTTCTTTGGAGATATGGCTATTCAAATTTTGGCCATTTATAAATTGGCCTACTATCTTTCGATTGATGAATTATAAGAATTCTTTATATATTTTGGGCACTAGACCTTTATCAGACAGATGATTTTTAAGTGTTCTGCAATTGAGTGTATTTTCTTTCACTTTCTTGATAGAGTTCTTTGATTCACACATTTTTGTTTGCTTGTTGCTTTTGCTTTTGGTGTCACATTTAAGAAATATTTCCTTAATCCCGGGTCATAAAGATCTACATCTAGGTTTCCTTCTGAGAGCTGGACAATTTTAGCTTTTATATTTAGGTCTTTGATCCACTTTGAATTAATTTTTACATATAGCGTGAAGGAGAGTTTCAAATTCATGTGGAAAGGGTTTCTTTTACATGTGAGTATCCAATTGTTTCAGCAACATTTGTTGAAAAGGCTATTCTATTTTCACTGAGTGGTCTTGGCACCTTTATCAAAATTAGGATTTGTTTCATGTATTTGCAGGGTTAGGTTCATAACTGATCTTAATTTTATTTGAAAGCAGCAACAACATGAAATTTATTACCTGAAGGCAAAATAAGTACTTTATTTATTTAAAAGTAATCCTGATGAACAGAAAAAAATTAGATGAGACATGAACTTTCACAGAAAAAAATTTTTATACTATATCATCACTCCAGATCATACTAAGCCCAGAAATTGTCTAGGCAAGGAGCAAGAGGTTTCTCAGAATCATTCTGCAACAAAAGAGAGAAAATTTCTTTCCTTGACGACCATAAGGGATCTAAAGTTTCAGAATAAAAATATTAGATACCTTTCATTGAGTGCTTACTATTCCAGGCACTGCATTAGTTTCTTTTTTATAGTGTTATTTAATTCTTACAGCAACCCTATAATCTGGTGTCTTATGTCAGCAGAACATGAGTCAAGCGATCATCTACAAGTGTGATTTTTAAGAAACTGTTCCTAGAAGAAACAGATAAAGAAGTTAGGGTAGCAGGACAGAGAAGGGGAAGAAGCCAAACAAGGATGGGATTCTAGGAACTGTCCAGCAGAGGATGCTTCAGCCTGATCCCTCAGAGGAGCTCTGGATTATAAACTGCAACTAAGATTTATCCACCATGAGATCAGTGAGTGACATTTATATTCTCCTTAATCATCAGTCATTGGCTAAGGACTGACCACCAGGGGATATATAAACTCTGAGGTACTTGGGCTCTCTCTGCCCATGAGCAATGATGGTCTGGTAGCCAGGGGCAGTTCCTCCAAAGAAGAGTCTCTTTCGGGTGGTGGTGGTGGTGGTGGTGGTGGAGCTGGTTCCTGGAAACAAAAGGAAGTTGAAGCTGGAGAAAGGGTGCTTAGAAAATGTGAGGGGACCCAAGAGGATCTGGGCAAGCACCCACAAAGTCTGCTACTGTTAGGTACTATTTTTTTCCAGTTTAGAGAGAAAGAAAGGTTAAGTGCCCAGAGTCACAAAGAGAATGAGAGCAAATGTACCTGACTCCAATTCCTCTTCCTTTCTTTCCTCTTTAATGTGGTGCCTCCAGTCATGGAGATACTGTCATTTGGGAACTTTCAAGAATCTCCTTTTTCATATATCATTGTGCTACTTTCTTCAAACAGAATACATTTTTTTCATATGTTCTTTATTTGGGATCTGTCAAATTGCATGCAGAATTTTGTATATCTGTATGTTGGTGTATTCATGTGCTTTTGTTTTCTTCTGGGGAGAGAATCTATGGGTTACATAAATTCCTTAATGGGAATATCAAAAACAAAATGTTAAGAATCACAATTTTAAAAGATCATTCTCCATACTTACCTATTTTCCTGCCTAAGTTTTATGACTTCTTATTACTATTATGACTCCACAACATTGTTCTCATGACCTCAGATTAATTATTAATAATTACAAATGGCAACTTAGGATGGTAACAGCTTTTTCCCCCTGGCTCAGAGCACCGCTTTTACTTCATCTCACAAGTTTGAGAGAGATTAGCATTAACTCTTTTTTAAACGTTTGGTATAATTCAACATTGACACCATCTCATCTTGAGCTTTTATATGTTGGAAGTGTTTTTATTACTGATTCAATTTCTTTACTTATTACAGGTCTTTCAGATTCTCAGAAGTACAAATAACTTAACATTAATATTGTTAGAGTTTACTCAAAATGAAGGCAAAAAGTTCACGTAGGGTGTTAAATGGTTTGTGTTTTCGCTGATCAATTCAACTGGGTTATTGCCAGATATTCACTTAGTGTCTGTATGACTTACACACACACACACACACACACACACACACACACAACCTGGCTATCAAGTGGCATTTAAAATAATTTTTTTAAATCCCAGTGATTTTCCTGTATGTTTTTCTTCTGAATTTATGATACAAGTGGGCAGAGTCTTTGTGTACAGACAGTGAACCACTACGACTTTACAGAATGAGTCTGAGGGTGTCTTTGTAAAGAAGAACATTCTAAACTTCAATGTTGTAGAGCTAAGCGCCATGGACTGAGAGAGCGCTGAGGCTTCGGGGGGTGGGGGACTGAGTGGAGGAGATTGATAGGCAGGGTTGTAGGGAGCAGTGGTGGTAGGACAGCCTCAGAGCTTTGGGTGTGTGGATGGGTGGATGGCCCAGTCTGGACCCAGCTGCTGGAGGTTCCAGGTAAGGAGAAAACCTTTGACAGAGAGGTGGTGCCTTTCCCAGTAAGTGGTGCTGAAAATGGGGAAGGGGCAAATACATTCACAATCTTGGCTACTTAGGCCAGGTAATGCTCTTAAAACATATTACTCCTCCCCCTACTTCACCCTTCAGCCATACACCACCTTGGGTCCCATTTTTTAATGTTATATTTCAATGTAACATAGTTTAATATTAAGCCAAAATTCAGGGGTGATTTCACTTTCTAATGCTCCAAGCGAAGATGACAGGTTGTAGTTTGTAGTTGTGTAGGCACTGTGAGCCAAAGCGGGATTCTTGCTCTTTCTGGAGAACACTAAGAGTATAGTAAGCACAGGGCGTATCTGTCAAAAGAACAGAAGATGGGAGGAAGGAAAGACTATGTGTCAGGCAGGCAAAACAGACCCCAAGTCTACTGACTTCTCCTTCTTAAAGAGCGAACAAGATATTTTAAACCGCGCGACTCTCTTGCCATTTTGAATTGGAAATAAAATGTGGAGATTTCATTTTTCATTTCAGCAAACGTCCACGGCACGACCGCTAAGCGTAAGAGATGAGGCCTCAGGGATGCGTTTAAATTACAGAATATGTAGGGAGCGAATGCACATTTTCCTTCAAGCTCAGGGCCAGTCCCTGGAGGGCGGAGAGGCCTGGCATTCTGTGCCCGCAAGCAGGGCAGTCTGGACACTTGTGGGACTCGATGGTGTCTGTCCCCAAGTTATCGAGAAGAGCCCTCACCAACCCCTAGGATTACTCCAGGAATAAATCAAACCAGCCCTTGGGCAGAGAGTGAGCGGTGCTCTGGGTTCCTCCTCTCCTGGCCCGGGCGTGCAGAGTCAAGGCTGTCCGCGGATGCATCGTTGTCTCCCGGGAGTAGGGATGGGGACAGCTGCTTTCCCCCTGGAGATGACAGAGGCGCTTTCTCGGTTCTCTCTGGGGGCTTTGGGTGTGAATAGGGTCCTCCGTCCCAGCGCACGATGAGAGAAGGGGAGGAAAAAGGGGGAGGAGATGTGGGAAATGGGAGGCCGGTGCAC